AAAATCGGACAATAACCACGCCCACATCCCATATAACGGTAATTTAGAGAAATACAAAATCTTCGATAAATCAGTAACTATTAACGCTAATTTATTCAAAATTGATGTTTGCAACAATTCTTTACCAAGAAATATGTTTATGGTAAAATTTTGGAAAATGGGCTTGGCACCGCCCACTTATGATAACATATACGTATATCGGTAACCGTTATACCAATTTGTACCAAACTCGGTACGGTTATTGTGCTTGCCCCATAAAAGCCAATTATTAAAAATTATTGAATTCAGCTAAAATTACGGCCGCTTTTCATATAACGGTAAATTTCAGAAATGCTTGAAACTGCAATATTTCGAAATTTAAGGACGCTACTCAAAATTGGTACACCCCGGTTTACCATCTAGCGGTAGCTTTCGGAAAGGTGAAAAAACATATATTTAATACTTGCGCCGGGTATTTAATGCTCGGCTCCGCCCGAACTTAGACTTTCTTACTTGTTTAGTTTAGTTTTCCACCAATCGAGAGGATTTTTACGGAGATCAGCTCGTTTTTAGGCCGTCGATAGGCCTTGAGCTTTAATTTTAAATTTTTTAATGTCTCCAGATTCTACATCCGAGTCTTCGCTTTCGCTGGGGGAATCTAAAATTATTTCTAGGTTGCTTATAAGACTTTTAGTAATCTATATATTAATACGCTAACATGAATTTTGTCTCCGTTCGTTTGGTGATTCTACCAAACCGATTTCGAAACCAATTGGACCATTGGAAAGGCATTTTGCTTTAGGTGAGCAGAGTTTTTATGGTTTCAAAATTGGTTGAAAATTACGGCTGAAACCGTCGCTTAAACATTTTCGAATTGTGTATAGATGTTGTGGCAACATGTTCAATTTGACATGTTTCGCATGTTGTTTCACTTCGCATTTGAAATTAAGCTTTGACATAAAGATAAATATGAAGATGACGAAATAAATGATAACGATTAAGACAAGAATGAGAAGGCGAAAGTGAATTCAAAGACAAAAATGGAGACAGTGAGAAATACTTAAGAGTTAGGGTAACTGAAAGGGTAAGCAAATATATTGGGAGTAAATGGGCAATGATGCATACTGAAATAGTTGCCACGGAAACAAGTGCTTCTAATATATGTATGTCATATTAATTTAACAAAAACGTGCTAATAAGGGGTTTAAGAATAAGACTGAGATAAAGCCTAATATATTTAGGAAGGAAAGTAAAGTTTAGTATCTACATAGACGAAGAAAAGGTTAAAGGTAAAGGTAAATATAAAAACAAAAACAAATATGCGTGAAGATAAAGGGTAGAACGACGATCAAAGTTAATTTAAACAATATAAGGTAAAGGTGAAGGGGAATATGCAAAAATGAAGATAAATATGAGGATGAAGATTGATATTGTTATTGATATAATAATCGATATTGTTATCGGCATAATAATGGATACAGTATATTTTGCTTAGCTGCCCATCCTTCTTTGCACGAAAAACTTGTGCACTTAACCGAAAAAAGCACTTAAGCGAATGTACTTTACTACTTCAATGAGGAAGGTATCCGAATCCCTATGAAAGCAAATAGTGGAGGAGCACTTACCACGTAGAAATTACTGCAAGCGAAATTTTTACCGAATGGTATCTAATTATCTATATAATTACATTAATTGATAGCCATTTTCGTTGTTCTGCGAGATGAGCAAAATAAATAAAAGCTTGTTAAATTAGATAATTGTAGGGCCAGTGCAGGTAGACCTAATACTTTCTTTGATAGTTAATAATAGTTGCACAATTTTTAAGGCAGGTATCGCCAATGTGCAGGTATGTTGAATGCACCTATCGGAGGAGTTTCCTTATAAATGTTAAAAATAATGCCGCTAATGCGCATTTAAATGTAGGTATCTTAAATGTACACTTAAGCATAAAGGCACCAAAGCAAAATATACTGTACTTCTATCAATACAACCGATATTGTTATCGATAAAATAATCGATAATGTTATAAATTTTATATGTCGATATACTTAACAATATATAAATCGATTTTGGAATCGTTGTATTTTGCGAAACAGTGCGCTCGGGATAACGTCAACTAATTAAAACCGCGAGTGTTGACATTTATCAAATTGTTGACGTTTTTGAATGTGCAAATTTAAAGCCAAAATTTAG